CAGTACCTGAAAGCAGCCAGATACTCAGGGTCACCCATGGGGGGGTCGAGCCCTCCAGTCCAGGCTACATTGACATTAAATCCCTCGCCAGGGCCAGCACCAACCTGTGAGAGAGCAAGGACAGCAGTGAAGGCCTGGATGTGGCCTGCAGTGCCCTGGGCAGGCTCCATCGCCACCAGGCTCCGGGGAGGCAGGGCTGGTGTCCCAGACCCCTTGCCCTGAGTCAGGGACATGGGAACCAGCTCCGTTCGCGAGGCTTGCTGAAGAGCAGCAGAAGCTGCGGCGTTTTCCTGACATTTCCCAAAGCCTTGCAGCCATCAGTTACCGTCCCCGTGCCGCTGGCTGCAGGCTGGGACAAAGCCTCGGCTCTGCAGCCAGCTGGGTGAACCAGGCAGGATCAGGCATCAACGGGCAAGGCACCGACACAAAACTATCCTCTGCTCAAACCCGGCAGTGTCCTGTTCTGCTGGCTGTCACCTTCGCCACCGGCGCTGCCGTCCCCGCCGTCCCCGGGCAGAGCTGCCCCGGGCGCGCAGCCTGTTGGTGCTTTTTACCTCGTCAGCGGCCCCGCTGCCGGGGAAGAAGTTGCCATCATCATGACGATGCAAAGAGATGTAGAGAACATCAGGGTCTCTGTAGAAGATCTGCTGGGTCCCATTGCCGTGGTGAACATCCTAGAGGGAGAGAGAGATTGGGAGAGTGCTCTTTTTTTCAGCCGTGAGGGTGGCCCAATAGCCTAACGGAGCTAAAAGCAACTGGATCTCTACCCTGCTCCAGGGCTTGGTCCCCCATTCCCAGGATCTGCTCCTGCTCCCCCATCCTGACATGCCGGGGGGTTCCCAGCCATGCTCCTGCAGCTGGTCCCCAAAAGAGGAGGTTTCGCTGCTCTCTGCCCTAGCTCCAAGCCAGAGCTGGGAGGAGGTGCAGACACCCGCTTTTGGGGACGTGCTGGGGAGGAGCAGGGACACGATGGGGGACAAAGGGGACTTACCCAGTCCACAATGAGGATCTTGCTGAGTTTCCCTTTCTGCTGCAGCTGCCTGGCAGCAATGGCCACCGAGTTAAAGAAGCAGAATCCCCTGCAAAGAGGGAGTCAGAGCTGGTTAACGCTCGGGCCCTTCCTGAGCACCCTTTCCTCCTCACGTGCTCCCGAAAGGGTAGGCTCTCCCTCCCGTCTCCCTCTGGCCTGGATACAGATGGGACCCAGGGGAGGTTAGTCTGGAGCGATCAGTGATTTTGAGCCAAGGAGATGTTTTCTGGGGCTTCTCACGTGCCAGCCCAAAGCCCTGTGGCTTGGGAAGGGGTCCTTACATGGCGGTGGAAGGATCCGCGTGATGTCCGGGTGGCCGCACCACAGCGAAGCCATTCTGGGGACAAAACAAAGGTGAGGTGAT